TATCACAGGTTGATTATAGGGCTTAAAATTAAATAATATAAACAACAACAACAAAAAGAAAGAATAAAAGCTTAGACAACCTATGTAAAGCCCTGTACACTTAATACCATAGGTTGCTTAGGTAACCTGTGTAAAGCTTGATGCACTTCTTACTATTCTACTCCAGTACAAGCCCTCAAATGCTTTTACTTCATTTCAAAAGAATTCCCAATTAGTCTCCCTGACATCAGACCTGCTAAATTCATTTTCTCCATTATTGTTAGAATTATTTTCAAAAATCTAAATCTGATTATATCATTTCCCTGCCTAAGAGCCTCTAATATTTCTTTTCTCTAAGGAATTGCCTTTTATGGCACACTAACGTATTGACTTAAAATAGAATCAACTTCTTACACGGAGTAACATCTGCTACCTTTCTCGTTTACTTCCTGCTACTCTCCTCAAAGTAGCACAGCTTTAATTAATACCATGCTTATTATTTCATGGGCCAGCCTCTTTGATGAGGCCTTCGGGTTTCTATCTGTTTCCTGTTTAAGTACATGTTCCTTATCATCTTAGAAAATTCCTTGTCCTTCAAGACCAACCTCCTCATGATACCTTCCCAAAGTCAAAATCTAATACCCCTCTGTGCTATTAAGAGAACTTTATTCATAGTATCTATCATGTCAAATTTGAAATTACTGAGTTGCAATTACTTTCTCCAGGGAAAGGATCATTTCTGAATAGAAATCAATCAAATTTGGTGTGTTATCCAGTACCTGGTACATTGTAGGCACTCAATACATATCATTGAATGAATAAATGATAATTAAAAGTATCATTCTTACAATTTACAAGGTCTTTTCACATACTTAACTTATTTTCATAATGTGTAAGCATAGGATTGGATACAAGAGGCTGTATTCTTATTCTTATTACTATTATAAACTAAAACTTATTAAATTCTCCAACATTTTACCCAATTGCAGAGCTTTAAAATACACAAATAACCAATATTTTAAAAAATAAAGGCAAGAGTGAGCACATGGCTCATGTTTTAAGAACAAGGTAATTATACAGATCATGATAATTACCTGTGGTTATCAGTAAATACATTGCAGCTTGATAATTGTATGCTAGATTCAGATTAGAATGCTTCTTTAATTTGCCACACAAGCTGCTATTTAGAGAGTCAGGCTAAAACCTGGAATTGAAGGAACTCTTAGGAATTATGATAGCATTTCCAAGTCATTGCAATTTCCATCCATTTCTTTCATGTGGCAATAATAATCAATTCAGTTAAATAATTCAAAATCAATAGGTTCTTTTATTTTCCTGAATTCCTTGAAAACAGTTGAGCCAAATTAATAAAGATAGTTGATTTGAAATCTAGAGCAGTGTTTATCAAAACATAATGACTTATGAGTGGCACATGAAATTAATTTAGTGTCACTCCAGCAATTTAAAAAAAGGAATAGAATAGAATTAAAAAATACTAGAGCAGTGGTTCTCTACCTTCTGGCCCTTTAAATACAGTTCCTCATGTTGTGACCCAACCATAAAATTATTTTTGTTGCTACTTCATAACTGTAATATTGCTATGTTATGAATCGTAATGTAAATATCTGATGTGCAGGATGGTCTTAGGTGACCCCTGTGAAAGGGTTGTTCGACTGCCAAAGGGGTCGCGACCCACAGGTTGAGAACCACTGTACTAGAGTGTGCTGTATCAGATAAAAGTATGTTGTTTTGTGAGATCTTTTGTTTCAACTGTATGTGTGTGTGTTTACTGGGTTGTGATGTAAAAACTATTTCCCACTGTGGTATATATTTCCCACTGGATTGGGTCAAAAGTTTGAAAGCTACCACCTTACAGGACACAGTGCAAGTGGGATCAAGTGTAAGTAGCCACTTAATAACAATTGGTTTAATAACTTGATAACATTGTAATCATGTCCCACTTGGAGCCCCAAACCCCAATTACATAATCATAATCCCCAAAGCATAATAAACGCCTGATTCATTCACTAGACTTGGCTTTAAATAACATTTAATTATTTCCAAAAGTCAAACCTGTCTCTAAGAGATGAACATTCACTACCACAGAAACTTTGCAGAAGAATGGGCCATAGTCTGAAGTCGATAACAAAAAAGTAGTTTGAAAATTACTCTTAGCAAAAGCAATCACTAAAATTGGACTCAGATCACTATTTTCCAAGGATGCTCCTGGCATTTCTGTTCACATACTTATCACATTGGCTTATAATCTATACTTATAATAGGGTAATATGCAAATTGGTTGCATCAGCAACCAATGATCGATCAGCAGGAGGGCGGGGCAGCGAGCTACTCATGCACGGATTCTTGGGCAGGGCCACTAGTTATTATATAATTTTCTCTCAGTGAAACTGAGCCCTTATCATACAGAAACCTTATTTTATTATTTCTGTATAATTGGTGCCTTTGCATACATTGTCTAGCACATAGAGACATTTAATAAATGTTTGTCAAGAAGACAGTACTCATTTGGATAAATACATGTTCTGAGACTTAATGAGTGACTCCAGGTCAGAGCATATGCTAAGGCTATTCATGTTTCCTGTCCACTTAAAGAATATACTTCTCAAAGTCTCTCAGCCTACAAAACAGAATTATATTGGAATTTAAAATCCATAACTTTTAAAATCAAAACATTGCAATTTAAAACAAAATGAGGTGTTATTTTGACACTAAATTATCATGGATGCAAGCAGGAAAATGAACACTGTCAAACAATGTTTGTGATTGGGAAAACCGAAGAAGATAGTTTGAAAATACATATCAAAAATCTTTAAATATACTTATTTTTTTATGAAGAAATTTTGCCTCTAGTTCCTTATTCTATGGAAAAATTAAGACTGCAAAACTGGACACAAGGATATTAATCTCAGTGCTGTTTTACAATAGGTAAAGATGTATAATACTGGAAGATTAATGATGGAAATTATGGTGATTCTCACAATAGAAAGTATGCAGCCATGAAAAATAACAATGTTCAATTATATTGGCATAGAAAAGGGCTTAGAAAATATACTTCAAAAAGCAGGTAATGATGCTGTAAACTGCAGAATACAATATAAATTTTTTTGTGAGGTGAAATTCACATAACATAACCATTAAAGTGAACGGTTCAGTGGCTATTTAGTACATTATTGGTCACTTTATTGGCCAACTGCTCCCTCTGTCTAGTTCCTAAACATTTTCATCAGGCAAAGGAAACCTGTTGTACATGTTAAAGCAGTTGCTTCCCATTCCCTCCTTTCCCATCTGTGTTCTGTCTCTATGATTTACTTATTCAGGAAATTTCATATAAATGGAATCATACAACATGTGACCTTTTGTGTCCAGCTTCTTTCACTTTCCACGATGCTTGGAAGGTTCATCTGCCTAGTAGCAATACTTTATTTTTTATGGCTGAATAATATTCCATTGTATGTATATGCAACAATTTATCTGTTCATTGGTCAATGGACATTTGGGTTGTTTCCACTCTTTGGCTATTGGGAATGGTGTTGCTGTGTACATAGGTGTACTGCAGAATCATTTTAATGATACAAGTATCTACTGGCAGAGAATAAATTCAGGGATATCAGCAGTCATTTTTTGGGGGGTTACAGACAAACCTTTTATATTATTAAAAAGCTTTGGGCTTTAGAATTAAACAGACCAGACTCAATTTCTTCACATGTAAAATGAAAAAAGTAGAATGTTAAATAAAACTGGATTATTGTGAAGAGGAGATGTAATATATCTAAAGTACTTAGAGATACGTGGGGGCACAGTGTGAGTACTGAATATATAGTATTTTTCAAATACTTTATTTATTCTTGCTACATTTATTTAAAAGTTTTCCTAACAGAATAATGGTGTTAGGCAAGTTTTTTGTTGTTGTTTGTTTTGCACGTGTATTTGCATGCTACACACTTAAGCTGCATGTTCCTCTTTGCTGATCGTCAGTTGGGCTGATGCCAGTGGAAGGCTGTCCCATTGTTTGCCCCATAACACCGTATAGCTCTACAAGGCAACTCTCCCTCCGAGTTTCAACTAAAATGATACTCCACTCGCATATTCCCCAGCCCTCTGGCAAAGCTCTTCTCCCATTTCAGTCTTTGTTTCAGCATTGCTTCCTAAGGTGCATATGCAACCATCCAGGTTGTACCTCCCAGGAGCTGTGCCACAGGGGCGGGGGGACGGGTGCGGGCACTGGCTTTCTCTTGCACAGCTAGGAAAATGCTTTGCGATGAGGTGTTTCCACAATATAGAACTTCCTCCGGAACCCCTCCTTGTACTCCCTAGGAAATCTCAAATGTTATTTTTCATTGTGAACTAAACGAAGACTTTTCTCCAACTCTGCACAGCAGAGGGTTCCGGTCCGGAGGCCGCAGGGCGCCTCCCCGGGTTGGGGGAGAATTCGCTCTGCAGCGCCGGGCAGTCCCGGCGCGGGAAC